GGAGAAGCGAGGGGAGGACAAGTTGCTCGCACAACCTAAGCCTCTGCCCCCACCACAGAAGTTTTCGGCATCGAAGGATAGGTATTGTCGGTATCACCGTGATTATGGCCATTCTACCAATTTTTGCCGGGAATTGAAAGATGAAATTGAGAGACTCATCAGGGCCGGTCTCTTAAAAGAATTCGTGATCAAGGATAGGGAGCGCCAAGATGATCGCCGGGAGGGGCGAGAGTTGGGTGACAAGCAGCGGAGGACCGATGAGCAGCCTGACAAACCGGTGAAGAAGGGTGTCATACACATGATCGCGGGAGGTCCTACCGATGGAGACTCACACAGAGAGAGGAAGAGGACTTACCGGGGTAAGAGTGTGGCTAATGAGGTGGCTGAGGTACAGGTGCAAAGGAGCTTGGCCACTTTGAAGTTTGGAGCTGACGATGTGCAGGGGCTTGTCGTCCCACACAATGATGCTTTGGTTATCACCGCGGAGGTGGCCAGTTATGACGTGCAGAGGGTACTCATAGACACGGGAAGCTCGGCGGATATCATTTTCCTGAAGTGTTTACAGCAGATGGAGTTAGACGTAAAGGTCGAGCCGGTCCACACTGCCCTCTATGGCTTCAGCGGTAGTGAGGTCCGCCCCGTAGGTGAAGTTAGTTTGACTGTGGCATTGGGGAGGTCGCCTTTGAGAAAGGTGAAGATGGTTCGCTTCTTGGTCGTGGATGCCAGCTCGGCCTACAACATCATACTGGGGCGGCCTAGCCTGAATTTATTCCAAGCAGCTGTTTCTACTTATTGCATGAAGATCAAGTTCCCCGTAGGGAATGAGGTTGGGGAGGTGACGGGAGACCAATTGCAGTCTCGGCGGTGCTATGAGGTCACATTGAAGACGGCCGAGGCGCAACATAAGAGGAGGAGTGATGATCTGCCTGAGTGCTCCCGTCGGGAGAAGAAACAAGAGTTGGGAATTAGCTCCCAGGACGAGCTGATGGAAGTTGAACTGATAGAAGGTAATTCGGGGAAGATGACAAAGGTAGGACGTCACTTGGCGGCTGACCTACAAGGCGCCTTGATTGCACTATTGAAGGAGTTTGTGGACGTCTTCGCCTTTTCAGCTGATGACCTCACAGGGATCGATCCCGGGGTGGCGGAGCACAGGTTGAACATTGACCCAACTGTGCGACCGGTGAAGCAAAAGAGAAGGCACTTCGGTGCCGAATTAGAGGTGGTCATTGAGGCAGAGGTGGAGAAGCTATTGAAGGCAGGGCATGTACAACCTATTCAGTTCCCGGAGTGGTTGTCCAACTCAGTTATGGTGCGCAAGGGGGAAGGGAAGTGGAGGATGTGTATAGACTTCAGGGACCTCAACAAGGCTTGCCCTAAAGATCACTACCCCCTACCACGTATCGACCAGCTCGTCGACTCTACGGCTGGGTGTGAGTTGTTGAGCATGATGGACGCCTCCCAGGGGTACCACCAGATCCCTCTCGCTGTGGAGAACCGAAAGAGAGTTAGCTTTGTGACATCCAAGGGTACCTACTGCTACGTTGTCATG